ATAACATAGCAAATGTAGCCATAAATCTGTAGACTAAATGTCTATAACAGAAGAATCCCAGATACAGTATACTTTCAGATTAGGATTTATTTTAATATATATGTTTTCATTTAAATAGGGTAAGTGTCATATCCTGATTATGCTTTCTCTTCCCATGGAAAAGTTGTGCTCAAGAAAGAAAGCTGTTGACTGGAATAACTGCAGACGGACACCATCTTTGTTCACCCACCAGAAACCTGGGCCAGCTTTGTAAGCACACAAACTTAGGACCAATTCTCAGCCTGCTGATTTGGAAGGAAATTGTGTGGGAGGCTGGCTTAGCTTTCCTGATAGCTGATGACCTTGGTGCCGTCCTGGCTACAGACTGCTTTACAGCAGCAGAGGTGAGATAGGAAAGCACAACCACATTTCTATCTCTAAACAGGAGCTCAGGTTACTGAGATCAGGCTTGTACACATGGCATACTGAGGATATTAAAAAAAAAAAAATAAGAGTAAGAGAAAAGAGGGAGTAAGGTAGCCTGCCTCAGTAGCAATTTTGGCAATGTTTTGTTACTGTTTTGTTTATGAATGTAATTCAGAATCCTTATTCATGTCCTTGTCCTTGCTGGGCCCCTTTCCTGCCTGAGAGGCTATGTCTGTAGGCCAGTGATTAATAGTTTACAATCTTGTTGAGCAAAGCTAGAGAAATAGCAGTACCTCAACAAAGTGTGAAAAGCTGAATAGATTGCTTAAAGACATTTTGCTAAGGTCCTCAGACTGATAAATGACATGGGCTGTGCAAAGCAGGTGCTTCTGTCATGTTACATGGCAATGATGGTTTCAATCTGTCTCTCGAAGGCTTATAGAAAAGTTCCTGCTTGAGCCCAATGTGTCCCTGCCAGAAAACCAACAAGGAAAATAAAAAAGACACTGAGACAAAAACCAAATCAAACCATGCAAATTATAGCTGAGTAATAAAAATTAAAACCAAATCCTCACCCACTTGCTGCAGAACCAGCCGTTTTGTAGCTCCTAAATAATAAGAATTTGGCAATAATTACCATGCACAAAGTAAAGGCCACTTATAAAACATCTCCATAAAAATATCTATTTCTATATCTTTATTTATATATATATCAGTAAGAAGCTTCACACTGAGCACATCCCAACCACTCTGTAGTGGTGAGAATCTGTTTAATCCCCATGAAATTAAGCACTATTCGTTAGGGCTAAATTCCACGTGTAGATCAATACAGATAAGTGCCAGCAGGCTTCTACTAATTAATCAGATGGGGTAGAACTGTCAAGGAGCTGAAGCCTTTCAGGAATATCATGCCAAACCATGGTTTTGTATCAGAGGAACCGCATGGGCTTTGGCTGCTCAATGCAAAGAACAGGTCACTAGGACTGAAGATATTTTGTATCATAGCTGCACTGCCTGCAGATGGGATCTTGATCCACTGAAGAGTAGAGCAGAATGAATGATACTCCTTAACAGAGCACGAGAGGGATGAACTGTGTGAAGTGGATTTGTGGAAAGCCAGTTCTCTGTGCTTCAGTAACTTAATGGGAATCAAGTGATACCATAATCTTCATTCAAAAATTACTTCGATCCCACATCTTAACTAGGTGGGGTTTCAGCAGATTTGACACAATGTAGGAATTACAGTGGACTTAAGTACAGTATCTCAGAAACTTCAAATGCATGAAGCAGGTGATTTTTTTTTTTTTTTTTCCTTCCATGATATGCTGGTCCAACGTAAATAAGATTCTTTAATAACAGGTGTTGACAATTTTCTTACCTGTGCTAATAATAAACATTTTTAAGGATGCTAGTTTGTTGCCCCTTTTGAGATGGACTTTTAGAACCCCAAGTAACTGAAAGCACCAGGAGCAATGGTTTCTTCATGCCACTGTGTATACTCCTTTGGAGGATGCAGTGGCTTTGTATACGTGCAAGACATAGCAAAAGCAGCAGGGAAAGAGAAAGCTGAAAGTTCATTCTGACATCTTGTGACTCTGTAACCATTTTTCTATTTACCTTAAAATGTATTTTGCCACACACTTATTTTAGCATTTATATATCTTGGGAAAAATGCGAAAAACAACAAAAAGGCTGTTCTCAATGGAATGAGGTGCAGGCCCATTGTTTTTAGACACTCTTTGCCAGATAGTGCCATCATTCTGGAACGCGTGCAGACAAGTTATAAAATAGTACTGCAGCTGGCAAAAAAATGCTACTTTCAATCACTAAGTCCTATAAGCAGATAAAACCAGCTGCAAATATAGCACAAGACAGGCATTCGGTGTCATACAACTTTCCCAATAAAACAGCCACATTTTGCTGTGAAGGAACTACACATTCTGTCAGGAAAAGGTGATGGATTTATCAGTGAGAAGAAGCATTTCCGAAGGAGAGGAAGAGATGGAAACAAACCAGAACTGTTAGCCAAGCTCTTTCTGTGCTACCCTTGCAGTGGTGGATAAGAACTTAGTAAACACGGAGCGCTGGATGTATACTGAGATCTTACTCCTACATACTATCAGCAACAAAAGCATCATTGTTGTGTTTCAGGATGTGCATCAAAGGGGATTTCTCTTTGTTCCGCGGCCCTTTATGCAGTTTCAGGGCTAAAGATGGTGTTAGTGCAAGTTATACAACAAAGCTCTGCAGGTATCCCTTATATTCTAACAAAAACAGTCTACAGCTATGTAATGACACAGTGTCCAGCCCTCCCAATGAAGTCCATACTTTATGAAGGCAAACCATAAATGCATGTTTAAACATGTAACTAAAATGGACCTTTAAGACAAAACAGTAATGGGTTTAGGGCCAGCTTGTGAATGGCTCAGCCAAGGTCAGTTTGTTTTAGTAACACATTAACTAGATGTACAGTTTAGGTAAAGAACATTAGCATAAAGGGTTTGACTACCTTTTCTTTACTAAATGAACTTTATTTACCTTATATACATGGACATGGCTTGAAAAAAAAATAGCACGAACTTGACTAGTTGCTAGCCTAAGCCAAGATTAAATCTGAGAGGGCTGTTCTGCTGGGAATTTTCTCTGTACAGCCTGCTTCAGACTGACTTGGTTCACCTAAAGTTATCATTTTTTTTGCCGACTCAAGGGTTTCATATCCAGATATTTCTTCCAGAAAACACACACACAAAAAAAAACAACCCAAGAAAACCCAAGTGGAAGCAGTGGAAGCATATATAACATTATCAAAGGCTGCTGCATCACAGAAAGTAACTTTGTTACTTGATTTAAGAATATTTGCAGAGTATTTTAATCTGAACTTCTTTTTCACAGAGGCAGTTCTGGTTGTGCTTTATTATACCATATGTAAAATTTACTTAACTTTTCCAAGATGATGGTTGAAAAATGGAAAAGTATTAAAAGAAACAATTAACTGTGCAGGAATCTACTGAAACAATTTTCTTTTTAACATAAAGTAATTAAAAAAAAAAAATTACATCTGCTACTTCTCTTCCTGGTTCTTAACTAGTGGCCCTGATTTTGAGCATAGTGCTTTAGGAATTCTGCTTCTATGTGAAAGTCAGAGTTTAATTTACAAATATTAGAGATTTGTTAATTGCTTTTTGGTAACTTGGTCCAAGTCAGCTGTCACTTGAAGAAGTATGTGAAATACTGTAGTGTAAAGTCCAAGTTTGTCTCCAAAATTACATTGAATTTCAAGAATGAAGGATTCTGCTAGTACTGCAGGCTTAGGGATTTGAAGGAATTTTGTATGTAACTTTTTAATTCATCATATGTTGATGCCCTACGAGCAAGAATTACTCCAGAGCTGTGGATCTCACATCCAAAATACTCTTTTTTTTTTCAGGCCCATATGGTTTTGTCCTCATTGAAGCTTCCATGGCGACAGAAAGAAGAAACAAATTTGCTCAGTCTCACAGTGCACAAGTATTGGAATAGCTTTAAGCTTAAACCTTTGCTCCCTTCTTTTTCCTCTAGGACTTTCCTATACAAATGACAAATGCCCCTCTATCCCCTTCTAGAGGTTTCAACAGCAGTACAAATGAACAGTCCAAGCATGGTCACAAGGCATTACTGGACCTTGCCACAATTATACATTCAACAAAGCAGGGCCTTGCAGTTGGGTTAAGGCAATTCACCCTGCAGAAAAAGAAATAGGTTAGGACAGTCCCAGTATCCTTGATTCTGGAGGCTGTTGCACCCTCTGTTTCTTTGCCTAGAGCATTCTTATTCGGATGTATTAAATGTAGCACTTCTATAAAATGCTTCACATAAAAATAATAATAATAATAAAGTCTGATAAGGTAGTTTATTTAAAAAAAAACCAACATGCAAGTCTGTTGAACTAGCACATTTTTCTCGATGACTTCAATAAAAGGCTCACATTCATAAGGGAAAGGACAGTTATGGTAGGACAGGGAGGCAAACCACTCCCAGTCATTTTTAGCACGTAGCTCTTGTGAAGCTGGCAATGCCACTGAATTTGCAATAACAAACATTAGCAGAAGTGGCACTAGACTGCTTGCTGCTATCAAAGGAATCAGAAAGAGAAAAAGCTCAGTCATTTTGATTCCATCAAAACTCTGTGGTCAGACTCAGCTCACTCCAGCAGATACAGATTTACTGTGCTCAGGGTTCTCATCTGTAACACAGTCACAGCAGCCTGAGATGCAAGGAATATGTGCACACATCTTAATAATTCATCCCTGGCTTCAGTACCCTCTCTCTTTATAGATAACTGTGCTGTGAAGTCCTTTTTTATTTTATCTTTTTTTTTCCATGTACCTTGAGTCTTTTTTTATGAGGCCTCTTCTACTTGTAACCTTTTTCAAATTGATTTCCTTGCACTAGAGAAGAAAAAAATTACAGACAATGATAACAATGAAAAAGCTTTTAGGTTAATTAAAACTACTTAGAATTGTTTTCTTTCTTTTTTCTTTTTTTTTTCTTTTTCTTTTTTCTTTTTTTTTATTTAGCAATCTGATTTCTAGTAGAACTTCAGTTAAAAGGAAAGACATTCACAGAAGATATTAAGATATGAGGCGTACATACATGTTGTTCTTTCATTCTAATTTACATGCTGTGGCTTTTAGATTTGTTTAATTTCTCTAGGATTGGCAATAGAATCTGATCAACAAAATACAGGTTCTGCTGTTCAAAGTCGAAAACCTTTCAGAGTTACCATGTTTGCTAGGTGACATGGCTCAAGGGAGAAACCATGTTAAAAGCTATTGCTTATCAAAATGAGATAGCTTCCCATTTCAACAGATACCCTGGAAATTAGATGCATCTGCCATTAAAGGACATAGTTTGAATTAAAACATAATTATTTACTAGACTATTTTAAACAAATTCTTATCACTACAATAAACTTGTACATATACACCACCACTCTGGCAATCTTAGTAAAATATTTATGGTAACCATCCTTTGACATACATCATGCTAGCTAGAGCACGATACTAAAATACTATCATGTTTGAAGTCTTAATCGCTACAGGAAATATAAAAGGTAAAGGTAAGGTTTAAGACAAGAAAAATACAATGTAGAATTGTTCCAGTACCAATTAAAGATGCATATTCTTATGTAACACACTGGAATCTCCAATTAGTAAACATGGAATAAGCAATATGTGAAAGACTTGTTTCGAAACCAACAGATAAGACTCTGGATTTCCCCTCAAAACTGAGTTGATTTGTTTTTTACCATTTTGGCTCTTTGGAGCTCCACAGCTCATTTCCCTGCGGTCTGTGTGTGTTGTGAATGAGTACTCAAAAGCTGCTAACACAGAGGATTCTGGTCTTCAGCCCAGTCTTGCACTCCCCAGAGCTGTTGGCAGTTTTGCCATTGATCTCAAGGGAATCAGCACAAGCCTTTCAGAAACACAGCTGGGATACTTTGGTGGCTCAATCAGTGCAAGAAGTAACATTTTCCTATGCAGTTTGAATAGATGAAGCAGCTAAAAGCAGGTGATACAAGACTGCTTAGTTTAGTGTCCTCTGGGGGAAAAGCACAGGTTCTTATAAAAGCAGGCTCCATTCTACTCTCCAACAGATTTTCCCATTACAAGCATTTGGATAGCACCTGTCAAACAACACTGGCACAAATAAAAATGGGTAAACTAAACTATGGGTGTTGTTGCAACTTCCAATAATAGGCCCATAGGGGAAGAGATTCTCAAAATAGTATGGTGTTAGCAAAAATATCCAAGCTACATTTCTGAGCCTGCTCAGAAAGTAGGCCAGTGCCTATATTAAGCTTATTACATTTTCAGAAATTAAATGCGAGACAGAAAAAGGAATTCACCTAGTCATGAAAGACATGACTACATGTTATGAACACAATTTACACAGAGAACATATGATAGTCTAAAATATCATGACTAAGATCCACTATAAGAGGCAGGATTAATTCAGAAAGTTTCTAAAGTTATGAAGGCAATTGTATCTGGAAAATAGACCATCACCATTTTGATACAGCATTAGTGAACTTCACTTACAAGAAACATGGTGTCCAGTGGAGAGATGAAGATGCATTCAACTTAATTTACGAAATGTAAATCCTGTCTTTTGAAATTTAAGACATGCATTTACAAGTATTGCATGTGCAATAGTCAAAGGTTGTTTTCCAGAAATTCTTGCTTGCAGGATTGTGAGAGCTAAACTGGAAATCTTTTGGAAAGTCAGTGAATAGATGCCACAGACCCCATTACCATAATTCAACAAGTGTTTCTAGCTTGGCCAAGGACTCGGATAGGCACACAGACCAAGCCATCTTTCCCTTCTAGTACCATGCTAAGGCATTTGGCTACTTTGTCCTCTAGCATCAGAGGATTCCAGCTTCTCAGTATACATGAGCCCGATCCCCGTCACAGACATTAAGTTCAGATTAGTAATTTTTTCTGCAAACTGAATTCCAGTCTATGCAAATGATGCTGTATTCACTGCTCTTGATAACTTGAAGTTGTAGGAAAGGATGTTTTTCAGGGTGGACTAAAGTACAATTAAAATCAAATATAGAATATCATATAGAAAAGTGAACACCAATTACAGAAAGTCATCTGAAATTGCAACATGGAACAACCAAAGTATTTTGCTGAATAGTCAGTGGTGCAGGCTGGAGTCATCCCAGGCTGATATTCTCCAAAGGATTAGAGTTTAATCTTATGCCCACAAGTAAACATGATCAGGGACTCATCTATTTAATTAAGCACAAGAGAGGGAGATGCTGATACTGGAGGCAAGGCAAAAGACTGTAGAGCACATGGATGACAGAGGTAGCTTTCATGTTTACCTGAATACCTCTGTCACATAAAATTACCTGAGAAACAGTAAATCTCACTCGAACCGTTTTGTATGCTAATTCCAAATCCATGAACAGGAAGAAATCAATGGATTTGATTTGGTCTGATACATGTCCAATGAATCCGCCAGATGACTTTATTCTACCATCCTTAAATCAAACTATCTATCCCTGTCTAGCTCTCAAATTGTGCTTACAAACTTCTCGTCAGGTAAGACTCAAATATTTTCCTCCCTCTCTGTGATTTTTTAAAATTAAATTTTAAATCATTACCTATTATAATAAAAATACAATCAAAAAGATAAGGAAATTAGTGATGCCAGCACTGATCAGTGTAGTAGATTTCAGATTTGGATTTGAAAAATAAATCCTTCTTACAAAGAAAAATGGATTAAATCTTCGCATACTAAACCCATCAATATTAAAAGATAAAGCAAATCTGAGACTGTCACAAGCATAAAAGGAAATTCTTGGTGTTGCATCTGTTCTTTTAGCACTCAGGAAATGTTTTGCAATACATTCATTCTCTTGTTCCAGCAAAACCTGCCGACTAAGGCCCTAAATTTCTGTGCAATCAGACCTGGAGTACCATGCATACCTGCACAGGGCAAGCTACGGCTTTTTTGTTGCTATCAAAAGATACAAGGTCTTCAGGCAGCCCCCTTGCCTTTCTACTACTACCGTCCTGCTTCTCAGGTGGGATCTGCAACTTCCCTGGTCTAAGAGGGGACATGGGGTAAAATGATGCACTTGGCACTCACCGTGACATTCTTAAAAATGCTTTAGATAAGTAATAGTTCAGGTGAATCTGCATACTGAAAAATATGTCTTTTCTAGCACCGTGTGTTTTTCACGTGCTCTTGAGGCAGAGCTTTCACATCTTTGTTGCTTCATTTTTCTGCCTGTGCAAATGCTGTCAACAAAGACTTTCATCAGAAGGCAATTAAAAAAAAAAAAAAAAAAAAAAAAGAGGATTTAAAGTATGAATTGTTATGCCAAAGCTGTAAAAAGTATCATGTGAAGTCCATGAGTTTAAATACATTGACTAGAACTGTACTAGTTAATATTTCTGTGACAGTCTATAAAAAAGAAACAGAAGCAAATGAAGTTTGGCTATAATTTCCTACTACAATGCTTATGCCTAAGTCCAGGATATACACACCAGCACATCACAGGCAGAGCTGAATTTAGTCTGGCATGTACCTTGGGTCACCAGTGCCCTAGCCAAAGACACAAGAACAGGTCTACAGACTTGCACAGCACCATCTGCCCTCAGAGTTCACAAAAATAATAAAAAATAAGATTGCTGTGCTCTCTGGTAGAAGTAGTAGTAGTAGTAGTAGTAGAAGTCATAATAATATTTTTACATTGCTGATGAGAACTGTACAGAATCAATGAAGTATGTGTGTCAAAAAAAGATGAATTCTGCCAGGATTGACAAGAGCCGATGATATTTTGAAAAACTGGCAAGGTTTAGTTGCATTAAGTATCCTTCCTCACCCCTCAGTTCTGCCCCCAGCTCTGAACACCTGTTCAAACACCACCAAAATGAAGCATAATACAGTGAAGGTGCAGGGCTGATAGCAGCCTGTGGGGAAGTGGCCAGATAAGAAGAAACACAACATCAGAACAAAGTTCTGTCACTTGTTCTCAGGACAGAACCACCTCCATTTTAAACAGCTTTTTTAAAAAAGTAGGGGAAAAAAAAAAAAAAAAAGGCCCCATTTCTTGTTCTTTAGAATACCTCTAAACACACACACAAAAAGATAGTTATTACTGGAAATTTTAACCAATGCTGAAGCTGTGAAACAGTTCTTTGTTACAATTGTTTGAATACAGAAGGGCAATTCACTGTAAGTAAATGTTTAAAAGTATTTTTCTTAAATGCTTGTGATATTTTTCTCCTCCAGTCTCAGTGATTTTTCCTGTCACTTGCTCCTCTAGTTGTGCTGATCTTTTTACCATATGTGTGCTCAAGTTTCCAATGCAGAATGTTCTCTCCCCACTGCAAGAGTCATTCCAGTCCCAACCTGGCCCAGCTTGTATCCCATCCCAAGCTCCCTCTCTATGGGCTTAGATAAGCCATTCCTTCTTGCTCTCGTCAATGGTCTCTGTAAAGTTGGGGTCATTGTTCATGATGGCAGCATCGGCGCTTTCAGCTGACTCTGCTCCTTTGGCCTCATTGGTGTGGTAGGTTCCCTTGTGGCGAAACATGTAGCGGATCAGGAACACCAAAGTGCAGAGGATGGTGAAGATCACCACAGCGATGACACCTGAGCAGAGGAGGAAAGAAAAGATGACTAAGGAGAAGAACAGATTCTGATACAAAGAAAGAGGTTCATAGCTACATGGGCAGCTGAATATCACCACAGTTGCTTGGCTTCCACTTCTCTAAAAGTTATGTTATAATAAATGAGGGGAATCTGCTAGTGACTTCCATCCCATAGTTTATCTTTTATATTAATACCTAGTTACAGAGCTGAGCTTCATTGACCTTTAGGCAGAGGATGCTGTGTTCCTAAAATGAGGGGATGAAATGGGGACATGATGTTGGCTGGGCAGCTATTCAGAGATAGAGGACATTAGAGTATCATCCAGGATGAAGAAATTACATTTGTCATTTTAAAAAAATCTCATAGTCAGACAGAATTATTTTATGTCACTTATGTTAAATGTGTTGGGCAGCCAGATTGTTCAGGCATGGTCTAAATTTTCTGAGGAATGCAATACCATCCTCACTATTTGGTTGGGTACCAAAGTAAAAGTAATAAAGTAAAAGTCATAAGTGGTAATAATAAAATAAAATAAAAATGAAAAATAACGTAACAAATCAAAACTAAAGCAACTGACCTAAACCTGGTTATGGAATCACAGTCCTTTGTTGGGGACACAGAAAAGAAACAAGAAATTCCATTTGACTACACATATTACTATACTTAGTGTTGCTTCACAAGACAGAATATCTCTCACCACCACCGTGTCATTTTATACGCATCTAGAACTGGCTAAAATATATTAGGATGATCCTTAAAACATTTTTATATGCCTTCAGAATTTGTTGCACTACCAAAGTTGTCTCCAGAAAATTCTGGTGTAACACTTCAGTACAGTGGGATGGAGTAGGGCAAATTGCAGGTATGCATAAATTTATTCAGGATCCAAGCTGGAGACGGCTTGGCTGAAAGTCTTCAATTTAATGCTAATTTAAGATCCAAGTTCTGGCATTACTTCCCATCACCTGAGGACCTATCACACAGAATGGCACTCCCAGGCACATAAGTTGTAGCAGAACCTGGCCTTGAAAAACAAGGCAAGATTATGAGTTACTTCTGTCAAGAGTGCAACTAATGTTTTTTTGCCATAGATTCATGTTGAATCTGATGTAACTGGAGAAGTGTCCTTGCGATTTAACATAAATGAATTACTTTATTACCACAAGTAAGTACTCAAGAATAGATCCTCACAAGCATGCTTGCTATGTGGATTAAACATATGAATATTCTGATTTGGTTAAAATTGAATTGGAGGGAACAAACTAAGTGAAAACAAGCCATTTCACTAGAACAAATTACCTGAACAGAATTATACAAACTTCTTCTTTGGTGTAATTTTCCCAAAGTCAGTTCTTAGCAAATAGATTGAATATGTCACCAACTGCAACTAAGCCCCACAGCTGTGCTGCAAAATCTCTTAGGAAAGTAGATATTTTTCCTACCTCCAATAATAGCAGAGTTTCTGTTAACTCCATCTCCTATAGCTTGACCGTTGTATGGGAAATCAGCACTGGCTGTAAATAGAGAATTAAAGATTCATGTTATAATATCAGCAGAACTTACCAAAATTGTTCAGAAATGCATCTGACATACTTACATACAATTTAAAGAAAAAGTAAACACATGATATTTATCTAAATAAATATGAAAGAAAAATATCTTTCACTATTATCTGATCCCTTATGACTTTTTGCTTCCTCCTCAACAAAAACAAAAATAAAACAAAGGAGGTACTTTCAATAAGCATTGCTGTTTAATACAGAAGGTAATTTTATTACTCTACTAACCTAAATATGGTGAGTTTCATTAGCAAAAAACCAAAAACATAAATACATCTTTCTTTCAAAAGCGTGTGAACTCACGCGTGGTTTTAACCTTGAGGAAACATTACAGAGGCTTTTAAAAGACAATCTGTTCTAGTTCAGCTGGGACAGAGTTGAGTTTCTTCATTGTGTTTGATATGATGCTATGTTTTGGCTGTAGGAGAAAAACTCTGTTGCTGAGCAGTGCTGTACAGAGGTGGTTTCAGTTTTTCCGCTTCTTTTACTGTCCTGCCAGTGAGGGGGTTGTGGGGGCATAAGGACCTGGGAGGGAACAGAACCAGCTGACCTATACTGGCCAAAGGCATATCCCATACTATATGACATCATGAGGGGAATTGGCCGGGGGAATCTGCCATCGCTCAAGGATTGGATGGATGTTGGTCAGCAAATGGTGAGTTCAGTGCACTGCTTGTTTTGTGTGTATTTATATAGAGACAGTAATTATACATATATAAAATTATCGTCACTGTTATTTCTCTTTTCCTCCTTTGTCTTAGTAAACAGTTTTAATCTCAACCTACTTTATTTTTCCAATTCTGCCCCCGTCCTACTGGGAGGCAGGGAAGTGAAAAACTGTGTGTTCTTTAGCTGCTCGTCAGGTTAAATCACAAAAAATTTCATCAATTCAACCTGTCATCAAAATTTTTCTTTATAGTCAGACACAGCAACTAGATGCTGCAGTAACTGTACAACCCTAGGGAGCTAGGTGAGGGGCTGCAATAATTTGCTATTTTGTCAGTGCTATTGATTTTGGGATAGGAAAAATGTTTTTAAAAGACTTTCATAGAATCATAGAATCCTTGGAGTTGAAAGGGACTTCTGAAGGCCATCTAGTCCAACTCCCCTACAAGGAACAGGGATGTCTGTAGCTAGATCAGGTTATTCAGGGCATTATCCAGCCTCGCCTTGAAAGTCTCCAGGGACAGGACATAAATCACATAACTAAGTATCCTGTTCCAGTGCCTCACCACCCTCACTGTAAAAGACTTTTTCCTTATATCTAACCTAAATCCACCCTCTTTGAGCTTGAAGCCATTTTCCCTTGTTCTATCACCCCAGACCCTGCTAAAGAGTCTGTCCCCTTCTTTCCTGTAGCTCTTCTATATGTACTAAAAGGCCACTATCAGGTCACCTCAGAGCCTTCTCCAAGCTGAACAACCCCAGGTCTCTGAGCCTGTCCTCATAGAAGAGGTGTTCCATCCCTGGGATCATTTTCGTGACCCTTCTCTGAATGTGCACCAACAGCTCTATGTCTCTCCGAAACTGAGGACCCCACACCTGGATGCAGTACTCCAGGTGAGATCTCACCAGTGTAGAGCAGAAGGACAGGATCATCTCCCTTGACCTGCTGGCCATGTTTCTTTTGATGCAGCCCAGGATACGGTTGGCTTTCTGAGCTTTGAGGGCACATTGCTGGCTTGTGTCCAGCTTCCCATTCACCAGTACCCTCAGGTCTTTTTCAGAAGTGCTGGGCACAATCCCTTCATCCCCTAGTTTATACTGGTAATGAGAGTTGACTTGACCCAGGTGCAAGGCCTTACACTTGGATTTGTTGAAACTCATTAGGTGAACCTGGACCCACTGCTCAAGCATGTCTAGGTCTCTCTGGTTGGTATCTCACCCCTCTAGTGTGTTGACTGCACCCCACAGCTTGGTGTCATCAGCAAACTTGCTGAGGGTGCATTCGACCCCACTGGTGATGTCACTGATGAGGATATTAAAGAATAATGGCCCCAGCACCAACCACTGGGGGACACCACTCATCACCGATCTCCATCCAGACATTGAGCCACTGACCACCACTCTTTGGACTTGATCCTGCAGCCAGTTCTTCATCCATCTAACAGACAACCCATCAAATCCACATCTTTCCAATCTGAAGAGAAAGATGTTGTGGGATGCCACGTCAAAGACCTAACTGAAGTCCAGACAGATGATGTCAGTGGCTCTTCCCTTGTTCATTGATGCAGTGACACCATCATAGACGGTGACTAGGTTGGTCAAGCAGGATTTGCCCCTGGTAAATCCCTGCTGGTTCTCCTCTATCACCTCCCTGCCTTCCATGTGCTGTAGCATAGCTTCCAGGAGGATCTGTTCCATGATCCTCCCTGGCACAGAGGTGAGCCTGATATTTTCATTTAATTGGAAATGGTTCAAATAATCAAGGACTCTAATTCCTAATTATGTCAGTACTTAAAACCCAGCTGTATTTTTCTTGTCTGATGGATTAGGTGATATTTTAATAATTTGATTTTACAGGCCAATGATGTATTCACTATACCAAAAACCGTCTAAGGGAATTCAACTGGCTTTTTGTTAGCATGAAGTAAAAACCACAATAAAGTTCCTTCTGTATTGTGAAGAAGCTGTAAAATGGAATGAATTGCTTCAGCTTGCCACATGGCCTGAAAAAAGGTTTGTGTGTAAACTCTCAGGGAGAGTTGAGCCAGCTCTGTATGGTTGTCTGTGGAACAAACAAGAGAACATTTCTCAGGACTCAATGAAGGGAGACTGGCCAGCAGTTTTTGCCAGTGGCACTTGTCTCTGACATTTACTGGCACTCTATCTTCTAAAAAACACATTTCTGTGCCTCTCTAAAAGAAAAGCTGTTCTGAATGTCAGATAAATTCACAACTCCATACTAGTTTCTAACAGAGACATCTTGGAACAGTATCTGTACTATTATCCTTACATCAATGAAAAGGAAGGACTAAAAGTAGGAAAATAAATCCGAATTTTAAACTTACACTCTCAGACCCTCAGGTAAAATCTGAAATCTAAATGTCTCCATTTAGAAAATTATTAAGTTTGCCAAATAGCTCTCTAATTCAAAAGAAGGTTCCTATCCATCCCGGCAACACTGCAGCCAGTCACAAGTCCCACCGCTTCCTGCTGAGTGAATAATTTTGCTTCACTATGGTAGGTGTGATTTTACATCTATTATTTTCAGTGGTAGGTTTTTTCATGACGCTTTCCACATAGAAGCCTCTTGCAAATTCACAAAATTGAAATGTAAAATGACTGTCAGAGTAGAAAAGTGGTCCAGAAAGTGGATGTGGGCAGAGAAATCAGCATGTTCTGGACAGCCAGGGGTCAGGCCCAGCCAGCACAGGTTCATGAAAGGCAGGTCCTGATTGACACACCTGATCTCCTTCTATGATCAAGTGACCTTCCTGGAGGGAAAGGCTGTTGACATCATCCATCTTAGTCTTCACCAAAGTCTTTGACACTGTCTCCTACAAGATTTTCCTTGAGAAGCTGGCAAGTCTATGGCTTGGATGGTTACACTCTTCACTGGGTAAAGAACTGGCTGGAGAGCCTGGACCAGAGAGTAGTTGTGAATGCAGTTAAATCCAGGTGGAGACTGGTCACTGGATGTTCCCCAGGAGTTGATACTATTCTGTTCAATATCTTTATTGACCTAGATGAGGGCATTAAGTGCACCCTCACTTACCCTAAGTAAGTTTGCAGATGACACCAAGTTGGCAGGAATTATTCATTTGCCTGGCGGTAGGAAGGCCCTACAGAGATATATGGACAGTTTGGAAAAGACCTCTAAGACCATCCAGTCCAACCATTCACCTACCCCCAATATTTCCCTCTAAACCATGTCCCTTAGTACAACATCTAAATGTTTCTTAATACCTCCAGAGATGGTGATTCCACCACCTCCCTGGGCAGCCTGTTCCAGTGCCTGATCACTCTCTTGGAGAAGTATTTCCTAATGTCCAACCTGAATCTCTCCTGGTGCAACTTGAGGCCTTTCCCTCTAGTTACATGGGAGGTGATCCCTACCTCATCACAGCCTCCCTTCAGGTAGTTGTAGAGAGTGATAATGAAGTCCTTTAACACGATAATGCTATTTGGACTAATTATTTAAACTAAATTATGTTATATATGTTCTATTAGCTCAAAAAACATTTTGAAAGGTCTAATTTTTATAGGAGATACTGAATCTCAAGTGTTTTTACACTGATCAGTTCTGATGAATCACAGAAGCACAATGGCTGAGGTTGGAAGGGACCTATGAAAGACATCTTGTCTAATCCCCCCGCCATGCTATGCATAGAGATTATGGAAAATATAAGCTTTTCTACTAAAAAATCTAATTCAACTTTTTTTTTGGTGAAACCTCTCAATTCATGTCATTATGCCAATGTCAAATGTTTATAAATTAAAAAATGCTCTGAAATGATGGTTTAATAGAAATACTGTCCTTTGAGTACTTCTGTACAAAAACGTCTGTGACTGTGTGGGAGAGTAATTGAAGATTACAGAAGAAAGAATAGTTGGAAGATTATGTAAAAAATGCATGAAATTTGAAATGAAAAATAGGAATGCTAAGAATGAATAATTAGACCAGTTGGAGAAAGCTCAGCAAACACTCTCTGGTCAGCAAACTGGTACAATGTAAATTCCCACCATTAGATTTCAGAATCAGCTACCCAGTCAGCCGAGATCATTGTTTCCCCACTGGGAGCTTCATCAAACCTTTCAGTTTATACTGCAGACAAATTTTGCTGTCCATACCCCTAAGCAGAGGAGGAAATGGGAGTTTTATGAATATTTTGCTCTGAGAGGGCAATACAATGTTCTTTGTTTTGGTCTTAAGAAGTAATCTTCCTGGTGAAGGGATAGAAAAGCTTGTACCTTATAAAAAGACTTGGCCTTGCAGCTTACTCTCCTTCAGA